CAGCTGATAACAATTGTTTACATTCTTCTTCTGGGGCCCTTTGCTTCCCAGAAGAAGGAGAAATCCCAAAGAAAGGATTTCTATGAAGAAATGTCTGCGACAAATCACCATCACTCGGCCCCAAACGCCGTTAAATGATGTTTTCTGGTATAAACTATTCCAAATATTGTTGCAAACTTCTATGAAAGCACAGAAATCCCTCTGAAATCTGCCCCCCAGAGGCAAACACAAAGACTCTCCAGTGGCTTTGGTTCACATAAGCTGCCCCCAGTTCCAGCAAGGTTTGCTGCATTGTTTCTCCATGCACAGCAAATTACGTTGGAGTCTAACACAGTTATTTTAAGAACAGGATAAATAAGTCATTCTTTGGACACCAGAGCTAATGAAACCTGGTTTCCAGGGGATCTGTGCCTTGTCACTTCCAAATGACATTTTAGCTCTTCTAGGGCACAGCTTTTCTGTCAGGAGCACTTGGGGCAAAGCCTGGCAGTCTGCAACAGCTCCCTCCTACCACCTCTGCTTTTACTGCCCAAAATCTGGGGAAGGGAGATGCAAAAAAACACTGGGAAGCAGCTATCATTCTTCTCATCTCCATGCAATTCCATGATTCCACCAAAACTCCATTTTGGTGTGAGCATTAAAGCTGTTAGGACATTCCCAGCTCTGCCCAACTGGTCACAGTGGCAGAAACAGCTTTAGTTAAACAAGGAGAAATTCAAAGATCCCACAGCATCTGCAGGAAACTACAGGAACAAAACCAGGAACATGGGCTCAGGTTCATATAAAGGAGCTGGCTGGTTCCTGGGAAAAAAGGGCTCTCACAAATACAGCACTTGACAGTGTTAATGCAAGAGAGCTTTTGCCCAGGTTGCTTCAGCAACCACAGGACAAATGTAGGCACAAGGTGTTAACATGGATGAGCACTTAACACACTTTAGTGAGGTCTCTCCACACACATGCTCAGGGGAGCGTGGCAAAGCACCTCAACAGAAATCACCAGTCTGGATTTTATCCTGCTGCAGCACAGCCTGCTTTAGGCAGGGGCTGAGGAGCAGAAATCTTGCCATGAGTTCAGAAAATTCAGAAGTAGACCCCATCCTGTGGGTTGACCCAACCTGTGGGTTCAAGGCTAGGTTGGATGTGGATTGGAGCAACCCAGTCTGGTGGAAGGTGTTCCAAGGGGTGGAGTGAGATGGGCTTTAAGTCCCTTCCAATCCAAACTATTTTGTGATTTTATGATCACTGCACAAAGGGCTCTGGGGAACTGTTTGGCCCAGCAGTGCCATGAGATCAAATAGAAAACTCTGCAATCCAGAGCAGCAGAGCAGGACCCACTGCAAAGCCAGCCTGGCCCTGTGTCAGTCCTTATCCCACCAGAACAGCAGCTCACACAGACAGAGACACAAAAAAATCCTTCCCCTGGGAGAGGGGAGGGTCACCAAGTGCAGAACAGGAGCCTCTTTCCAACTGGTGAATTGCTGTTCTTTGGCAGCACAGAATCCTGGAATTGCTGAGGGTGGAAAAGACCTTTAAGATCAAATCCAACCATCAGCACCACCACCATGGCCACCACTAAACCATGTCCCCTGTGCCACATCCACACATTTTTTCAACATTCACAGGGTGCTGACTCCACCACTGCCCTGGGCAGCCTGTTCAATGCTTCACAACCTTTTCCACAGAGAAATTTTCCCTTATATCCAATCTAAACCTCCCCTGGAGCGACTTGAAGCTGTTTCTTTTCATCCTGACACTTGTTACCTGGAAATTAGAAATTAGAAACCTCCCTCAGCCTCACAGACTATAAACTCTGGGTCCAAAATAGCATTGTCAGGATGTGAAAGCTGAAGAAAGAAACTCTCCATGCAGCAGAGCTCTGCAGCCACACTCCCCATCCCAGCAGCACCAAGGGGCAGCTCCTGCTGTGTCCAGCAAACCCTGCAGAAGGAAAGAGGCAGCAGAACTTACAGTCAGTGACTTTCTTCTCCTCTGCAGTGTAGAGCACAGCCCGTCCAGCCTTCTCAGGGTGAGGCATTGGGTACCCATTCTCCTTGAGCTGCTCCTCAGTCATCAGGTACTCCTTGAGGCGCCGGTACAGGGCAGCTCCTGCACACAAACAGCTCAGCTCTCAGCACCAAAGCACTGCCTGTGTTTCTGCCTTTAACAAGTCTCCTATCTTCATAAATTGAACTTTCCCCACTATTCTGAACTTGTCTCAGCTCAGGATGGACAGGGGAATAGGTGCAGGTGGTCATTTTTAAAATCTGGCCATTATTGTACAAGTTGATTTTTAAACTCTGAACAAGGAGCATTAAGACTGGAAAGCACAGCTGGAAGAGAATTCCTCCAAAAGGCCCATCTTCAGCCTTGCTGTTACTGATAGAACCAACCCAATTTGGGTTGAAGGGACCTTGGAGATCAACCCATCCCA